TGTTTTCAGAGGTAAAATTAGTGAGAAAATGGCCGCAAAGATTATAAGTTATTTCCTTAGATTAAGAGTCCCTGATAAGTGCCTTTATTCAATGCTTTTCAGAAAAATCCACACATAAATGAGTTCTTTTACAGGCATGAAAGATGTTGAGCCAAAAAACAAAAATTTGATAAAAATTCACAAACCTACGGAAAAATGCAAGTTTCTTCACTTTGATTATTTTGACGAGAGCCTGATTCCACCACGGTGCCTCACATTTAGATTTTTTAGCTAGGCTGGCCTCCTACCCTGCCTGTCATGGTCAACTCCAGCTGAGAGGGATACAACATCCCGGTAGAAAGACAGCTGATACCAGATAATTTTTCCCTATTTTATAATCGAACTCGGAACCTCTACGTGAGACAGCGAGAGTCTAACCGTTGCACCACAGGTGTAGCTGTTATGCCTTCGGCGTGCTTTCTTCTACGCATACACTTTGAATGTAGGCAATCAAATCAGCATCAGTACAATCGAAATAACAGTTATTCCTTAATTGTTATTTTCTCTTCTCACACACGGTGAAAGTAGACCATTAAAACCACATCATTTTAATTTAAATGATCGTTATTCCTTATTTGTGCTTTTCTTTTACTTATACAATTTGAAGGTATACCATTAAAACAATATCATTGTCATCTAAATAACCTTCATTCCTTAGTCACCATCATCATCATCACCATCATCATCATCATCATCATCATCATCATCATCATCATCATCATCATCACCATCATCATCATCATCATCATCCACTGTTCATCTCTCACCTTGCATTCAGTGTATAGGCCACGAACCACCACGTTACACCTAGCCCTGTCCTGAGCTAGCGTCATGGGAAATATCGTGCCGATGGGGGTGCACAAACACCGACTTTTAATCTTACTTTTAAGCAAATATATGAGGCAGCGTGGTGGAATCAGGCTCTCGTCAAAATAATCAAAATGAAGAAACTTACATTTTTCCGCTGGCTTGTGAATTTTTATCAAATTTTTGTTTATCGGCTCAACACTTTTCATGCCCATTAAAGAACTCATTTTTGTGTGGATTTTTCTGGAAAATGTTGATTAAAGGCACATAAAATGTAAATTTTCAGTTACCACGGACTCAAGGAAATAACTAATCTTTGGAGGCCATTTTCTCACTAATTTTACCTCCGAAAATAATGACCCCCATCTCCTTCTTTTGCAAATATCTCGATTTGTATTCAACAGAAATGGATATTTTTTTCATCCAAATAAAGACAAGCGAACAAGCTCTAAGATGATACCAATAACTCTACATGCCTAAAAATTGACGAGAGCCTGATTCCACCACGCTGCCTCACATATCTCACGGTCACTTCCTTAAATTTTCCTCAGAAAATTTCCACATACGTAAATAATTTCATGCCATTGTCGCCTGGATTCCATAATAGGTTTCCGCACTAAATCTCTTGGACACGGTACGACCGTCACGACACATCTTCTATTTCTCTCTCTCTCTCTCTCTCTCTCTCTCTC